AGGACCGCCAGCCCAAAGACCCACATGGGCAAAGGAAGACGGAAAGAGAGGGATTAGGGTGCCTAGAAAACCTCAGGCTGTGGCCAAAGCTGGGAAGTTCCCTGCATGGACTCTTGGGGGCAGGCCCAGCTGTGGAGCCTCCTCTCCCTGGTCCCAGGCAGCTTCAGCAACTTTGATGGCTCAGGGAACCTTAAATTAATCACCCACTCAAAATGCTGGCATCAGCCCAAGAATAATCACCTCTTGAAGCACTCCTGGCTCCAGCATTCCAAGGATACAGGCATCTGCACCAACAGGGCTGAAGTCAGACACCCAGCAGAGCTTCCTCAATGGGAAGAAGGAATGTACTACCGAGTTGAGATGGGGTAGGCAATGAGAGACCTAACCTGACTCCAAAGGAGAACTCAGGAAGAGGGGAGCAAAGGAGGAGGAAGAAGGCTAATTAGGAATAAGATGATGGCTCTACTCTCCCCCTCCTGACAAAAGTCAAACAAAAGGACTAGGGGTGAAAAACAGCAGCAAAACATTGAGTCTCATTCTCTGAGACCCCATCAGGATGCAAAGTCCTTAAGAACATCAGTCTTTCCTACTGACGGGGATGAGGAACACTGTCATCTGAATTCTGATCTGCAAGGCAGAGGCCTAGTTCCTGGCACATCTTGCTAGGTGTGACTCTAGAGGACCCGACAATACACCTCAAGGCTGGACAGAAGGACTCCGGGAGCCCTCGAGGAAAACAGGCCAGCAGAGTTCTGGGAAACCAGCTGTTCCACTGCTATATGGTTCTGAGACTGTCTTCCAAGGGAGATGAATGCAGAGATACCCACAGTCCCATAAGGGTAGCCACATAAGGGTGAGAGACAAAGGCAAAAACTCCAAGCATGGAGCCAGCTCTGAGCTGGCCTCAGCGTCCTGGGTGGAGCCATAAGCTCATGTGTATATCTACACAGTGAGTGAAACCTGCACTTTTCCTGGCACCTAAGGGTGCTGTGCACTGGATTCCTCTTCCTTGAACGTACGCCACGTAAGCATTTGTGACATCTGTGGGCAGGACTGTTGAGGCTGCAGTGAGTGTATGGGAGACATTCAGGTGGGTTGTGGCAGGTATATGTATGTATGACAAAGGTGTGACTGCACTGGGTACACCTGGGCAGATGCCATTTAATTCCACCAAACCCTATCACTGCCCCCCTCCCAGGAGCCAGTGTGTTTGGTGCTAGGGACCAATGAGTGGCATACGAGTACTGATCTCAAGAGCCTAGGGTTGGGGTGCTGCCTGAGGAGCAGATGACAGATCCACTTCCCATCAAGCACTGGGATGAGGCTCTTCCACATTAACTTAGTGACCTCCTGAGTCTCAGTTTCCCTGTCTGTCAAACAGAGGATGATGGTGGCTGCCTCCCAAGGCTGCTGAAGGACACACGAAAGTAGTCTAAGACTGCATGGTGCCTGTATGTCGACAGCGATGCTCACACAGTCAGGAATTTCGGTTCAAACTCCAAGGGCCACATCAGGCAGCCAGAGCGAGCAGAGGGAGCTGTCCTGAACTGCAAGTCAGGAATCTTGGGGTCTTGTCCTCCACATCTGCCACCAGCTGACCATGTGACTTTGCTCTCTAGAGCCTTAGTTCTCTCAAACCGTAATGGGGCTGTCAGAACACCACGCCCAACCTGATGTAACATCTGAGGGTCCTGGGTATCCTTTGCAGGGACTATTTTCAACCCAGATGATGGTCTTTCTCAGATGGTCAGGATGGGAGGTTGAGGACCTCCAGGGTTAGGAGTCTGAGGGCTCCAGGAGCTGCCGACACCTCCTCCCCTCTCTATTCCCATAGCTTCTGACCCCAGGGACAAGGCTGAGGGAGGATGTTTACAAAGCTGTAAACCTTCACATAGAGAAAGTCTGCTGGGTAGCTGGGGGCTGGGAGCAGCAGGCAAGTGTCTCACAGTAGCTTGGGAAGCATGGTGGGGTATAGCCCTTGCTCTGTACCAGCTCTTCCCAGTTCTTGGACTCCAAGGGAGAGGCTAGTAGGGCCTTCGAGAGGGTGCCACAGGAGGGAGCATTCCCCACAGGCCCAGGAAAAGAATGGATAGCAATAGTCTTTTGTAAAATGCTGAGAGCTGCAAAGGATTGAGAGCCCATCAGGGGCTGGGGCACAGGCTGTCAAGACCAAGGGCCTACACAGAGAGGAAGACCTCAAAGGGGATCCCTCATTCTGGATCTCAACAAGAAGACACAAGCTGCTCTTCTCACTTCTTAGAGTGGCAGCTGTTGGCAAGAGAGGCCAACTCAGGCTGTCCTATCTATGGGCAGGCCCTAACCCCCAGGAGTCAGAAAGGTGCAGGTTCTGTGTGGGACTTGAGGGGTCCAGCTGGCAGCTGTGAGGGAGATGTCCCAGGTCCCTCCTCCCTAAGCCTTCTCTTCCAGGCTTCACTGCAGGGCCCTCTTGCAGTGGGCCTGTGTCTGTGGGCAGGGGGTCCTCGCCAACTGCATGCACAGGGTATGGGGGCTGTCTCTCAGGGAGACAGGGGAAGGAAGGAGGGGAGGACTAGACATCAATGGCAGGAAGCACTTCTTGGCAAGAGCACACAAGACCCTGCAGTGAGTGGCTGAGAAATCCCACATCTGGGGCTCTTGAGGAACAGGAGAGATCTCTTGTGGGCCCCTCCCCCAGCCCCAATAGTAACAGCCACATACTCAGACAGGTCCTTGCAGCTTACCCAGTGCTTTCCCATTCATCACCTCAACAGGAGGGAGACTACAAACTTGGGGTTTCTACCCACTTTAATGATCCACAGATCTAAAGTTCAGAGAGGTCCAGTGACCAACACAAGGTCAAAGAGCACCCAAGAGGTGGGGCTTCTGGTGTCTCAGGCCACTTTGACCTCTAAAATGGATGACTAATTCCTCAGACCCTCAAACATCAGCACGTTTTCCTATTACATTTCTTCCCCCAGAGCTCCAAGAAACAGTTTAGCCCTGGGCTCCTGGGGACAGTGGCCAGGACAAGCACGCCCCTGGCCAGGGCATTCCTGGCATCCTGAAAGGGCAGGATGTGGGGCAAAGGTGTCAGTGGATTTAGCTCCTGGAGAGGAAGCATAGGCCATTCCAGAGGTGTGTGACAGTACTGCCTGGGGGCCAGCAGTGGACCCATCACCTCCAGGGGCCCTTGTGGGAGCTGAGAGGCCAGACCTGGGCTAAGGAACCCCACTCAGGGGCAGATTGGCTTCGCCAGGCTCTGAAAAATCCCCTCCCAGGAGGGTACAGCTCTACTCTAAGTGTCTCAGCTCCTAGGGCACCTGAAGGGGCTTCTATACAGCACTAGGGATCAAGCCCAGGCCTGGCCCATGCTGAGCAAAACCCTCTGGCACTGAGCTACACCTTCAGCCCTCAGGCAGCCACTCTCAGTAAGCAGCTTCTGCTTCTCACCTCCATCCAACCCTACCAGCACCGAACCTCATCCAACCATCTTCTGTACCAACAAATGTTCATCCCAGCGCCCCCAGGGGAAGTTTGACTCAAAGCTTGACCTCATGTCCTGAGTAACCCCAGCTGTGCCAGAGATCTCTGTTCAAAGTCAAGGCTGCGGCCCCCTGGCACTTAATGGCTGGAGGAGTTCTCTTTCTCTGCCTTCCCCGGGTCCCCTTTTATCCCCTTCCTCTCTGAAATTCAGTGCCCAGTTCACAAAGGACAGAGGTGGGCAAGCCCAAACCAGGACACACAGGAAGACAAACCAGAAGACAGGTGAGAAAAGCCAGGTAGAAGAAAGGCTGGCAGGTGGACAGGTGGATAGACAGATGGATAGACAGATCCACAGGTAACTGGACAGACAGAAGGATGGAAACAGACCAGCAGAAGACTGTTGGGCAGTTAGATGGACAGAAGAACACACAGGCCAACGCACACTCAAGTGGAACTCAGCCTGGCAGATGCACTGTTGGACAATCAGGTGGAAGTCAACAGAGCCATCTAGGGAACCCCACGGCTCTGGGGTGGTGAGAGTGGGTTAAGAGCACATTTTCCAAGGACCTGAGGTTTCTCTCAGGCACCTCTGAGTGTCCCAGAGCCAGGCCCAGCCCTTTAACTGATATCTGTGGGGCCTCTCATGTTCCCGGCTGGGCCAGGCCGGCCCCCAAGACAGAGCTCTGAGCTGCCAAAATTCACTCTTTACATCCAAGAGAGGTCAGTGTTTTTGAAGGTTGTAGTAGCCTGGTGAGGGGGAGGAGGCACCCGAAGCCTCAGTGTTTCCAAACATACCCCTCTCCTCTTTCTTTTCCCCTGATGCCCAGAGCCAGGCCTGGACGGCCGGCCAGCAAGGCAGGCACGCTAGGCCCAGGCGGCAGGGCTGAGCAGGGCAGCAGAACGCTGTGCTGCTGTGAAGTTGAGGGTGGAGGGCAAGACTACTGAAGACACAGATAACCCAGACTCCACACAGGCCTGTTGGGGCCATGGGGACCCCCAAACACCTACCATCAGAGGCCTACCATGGGCTGGGGAGGGGACTCCCTGGAGAGGTGTATCCCCAAGGGGAGCCCAGGAGGGAGCCCATCATAGCTGCAGAGCTGGGGAGGAAGTGGCAGAAGATATGGGGGCCAGGGAGCCTCTGTGTTGAGGACACAGGCAGGCAGAGGCAGGATAAGGAAAAGGGAGCCCCATTATAGTGGCTCCAGACTTTGCCAAGCTGAGGGGGACAAGACGCCGGATGTGAGGAGAGTACCTGGGACAGAGCGGCAGGGGCCAGCGACCAGGATGGAAACAAGAACTAGAGGTAGAAGAGGTCAGAAGTGAGGGCAAGCAGGGGTCAGGTCTGGGAGATCAGGAGTTAGGGTCAGGCTGGGGAAGCCAGGAGGGGGTCTCAGGCGTGACAGGCAGAGGGCTGAGGGTCGCCCCAGGGCAGGGAGGCGGGAGGTGGAGCCAGAGCGGGGTGGCGGTCCCCCGGGAGAACGGCAGGCTCGGGAGCAGCCCGGGGCAGGCGGCGGGGCGAGGGGTCGCAGACTCACATGAAGACGTGGTAGACGAAGGCCCAGCCGCGGGGCCGCTCCAGCACGTTGTAGACCCAATTCTGCAGGCGACGGTAGCGCTTGTGCGCCGCGGAGGAGCGCTGGCCGCA